CGCCAGGACTGGTAGCTGTAAAGGTACTAACTGGGTGATAAATCTGTCATAGATTTCTCATAGATGGCGCTACGACTAAAAAATCGTTGAAAGACCAAGTACAAAGACGACGCAAGCACATAGAAAAATTCGTGAAGTCCGTTGGTTCGTTCCGTGGCTTAGTTGGTATAGCGTCTGGCACGGTATGCAAGACGACGTCGGTTCGAATCCGACCGGATCCAAGGAATTTTATCTGAGTGTTTTTTGTGAGTGTTCGATCTTTGTATTAATAATTATAGCATAGTATACATTTTAATATTAGAACCTAATGTGTAATTGCGATGCCTAAACTAAGTAAATGTGTACTTGTACTTTAGGCGTCTCTTTGTGCAAAATTTCTTTATATAACAGTTTAAAAACAGATTTTCTATATTTAACAGTTTGCTGGAAACAACTTCTCTGTTTAATTGTACAAGTAACATTAATATGAGGAATAAAAACAAACTAGCTGTTCTTGTTCAGTCGTTTTCACAGTCACAAATTCATTTAAGGGGTAACGTATACGCTTCTATAATAAGGTTCCAGGAGATACTCAAATGCCTTTTACAAGGTTGAAAACCATAGTGGGCTGGGCAGCATTTGGGAAACTGCGCCATGTCTTCTCGTCACCACTCCCGCAGTGCCTGAAGATCATTGTTTACAGGTATCTCGTTAAGGGACAAAGTCCGGAACGAAGTTATCATAAGACTAAAGTTGTGGACATCGTCCAGAAATGTAGCAAGCTGAAGTGGCAGTGGTCTGGCCACATCTGTTGCAGAACCGATGAGCGATGGAGTAGCCGGGTTATCGAGTGGAGACCGCGTTTCGGCAAACGTAACGTAGGACGCAAGATGGACCGACGATCTGAAGAAGGTCGCGGGTAGTGATTGGATGCGGAAAACGGGTGATAGGGCACTATGGCGTACACTTGGGGAGGCTTATGTCCAGCAGTGGACTGCAATAGGCTGATTGATTGATTGAAAACCATAGTGAAACAAAACTTTATACTAATTAAGTTATTATACAGGTTCTGCGTACTTGGATGACAATATCTGTGGCCTGTTTAGCTCTTGCAGGTATTCGCGATCTAAGATGTTTAAATTAAATATTGTAATAATAAATATATTCAAATGTTTATTTACAAAGAGCAACCACTAGAGTTTCTTGGCTATTCTTCTCAGGGGAATCTGCATTACGAATGAGCAATAGAGATTAATCAGTATGACGATTTCAATATTGTGTGTAATTTGCTTACCTATGAAATCAAGATTATATGACTTTGACTTAGGTTTGTGAAACTCTTTCGCAAAAATTCTTTGTGTCGAAACAAAAAATTTGACACAAAGAAGAGCAAATGATTTTGACATAATAATAATTAGACATGATTTTGTCAAAAGTCGAAAAAAAATTTAAAGTACATACAACCGTCAGCTGAATTTTTATATTATTTTTACCAAAACTACCATACATAGTCATTTTTAACCCTGACTTTAGCAGAATCATCGTGAAAATTCATGGAGTTATTATAAAGAAATTGTATTGGATGTAAATAGTACCTGCTATAATTTTATTTTTTAACAATACATTTGATACTGCCATCACGCGCCGGAGTCGGCGATGCCACGGATAAAAAATGATTTCCTTGCTTATATTCCACCTTATTAGGCGGCATTTTAGGAAATAACAGTAAGTAACAGTTTTACTTATAAATAGAAATTCTGGAAAAGCTTGTATCGCGGTGTACTCCGCAAATTCCGAATGTCGATTACGCGAATGACGATAGTGCGAAGAAGGTTGCGCGAAAGTTTAAAGGCGCGATAGTTCATTTGCGCGAATGACGATAGCACAAAGTCAGATTTGACTCCCATGGCTGCCGGTTGTTGCAATTATTTCAAAAGCTTTCATAAAAAGTATACGTTCACTTCTGTAAAACTTTATTATGGCGTACTCGCAACAATTAAATTGCCGTCCAGTTTTCGCATATATGTCTTCGTGCTATCTTCATTAGCGCAAATGAACTATCGTGCATTCAAGCTTTCGCACAAATGAACTATCGCGCATTTAAGATTTCGCGCAACCGTCTTCGCACTATCGTCATTCGCGTAATCGGCGTTCGCACTCTCGTAGTACAGCCCCGCGATACAGAGTTTCCCTGGTGCGGGTCTGCGAGTGTGATTTCTTTTTGTACTTAAATTTGTATTGAATTGATATTCAATTATTTTTTGTGGCATTACTCCACTAGTTTCTTATAATTATTAATACAAATATCGAACACTTAGAAAAAATCCTTCGAACCGACGTCTTCTAGGAAACCGTGCCAGACGCTATGCCAACTAAGCCACGTAACGAACCAGTGGACCTCACGAATTTTTCTATGTGCTTGTTGTCGGGTCTTTGTATTTGGTGTTCAACAACTATTCAGCCGTAGCGCCATTTATGAGAAATTCATGAAAATATTTCGTCACCCAGTTAGGTAACTTTAGAGCTACCAGTCCTGGCTAGAGATGTATTATCTGTAATTAAATTTATACTGAATCTATATTCAATTATTTCTTGTGGAATAATTTCACTCCACTAGTTTGTTATAATTATAAATACAAAGATCGGACACTCAGAATTAGACTTAGAGATTAGATTCTTAGATTCTTTTTGTGTTGGAAAGAGGGTACCTCAGTATTCTTTCTTCTTCCTATCCGTTCTCGACCATACCGGTGTAGGCCTCGTTCAATTTCTGCCACTTCTCTCGGTTCTGTGCCACCTGTATTCAATTCAATCCCGCCACTTTCTTTATGTCAGCCTTCCAACGCGTCTGCGATCTCCCTTTGGGGCGTTTTGTCTCTAAGGTCGCCATTCGAGGACCGTCTTACACCAGGAGCCATGCTTTCTAGCAACCAAGGTTCTTTACACGTTGTAAAGTTTTAGTAATTTTTGTGCAGACCTTAAATTATTATTTATTTCAATATAGTATATTTCTTGGGAAATATTCCTCTTTTAGAATGGTTACAGAATTATCATTGAAAATGGCAATACTGATTAACATAAAAATAGTAGAAGGACTGTCAGGGTCGTATTCCAGAACGTGACTCCAGTATCGCCGCGATCATCAATCAATGAAGCATTGCTTGAGCATTGATTCAAGTCTTAAGAGGGAGCAGAGGAAAAATTCCTAATCTTCGATTTGATTTTAGAGGGGTATATCCACTTTACAGTTAAAAATAAAATATTGTATGAGTAACTACACGATATATTCAAGCATAGACATTAATCAGAAACATAAAACAATAAAGTTTCCTCGATAGATAAAAATCACGAAATGACCTCTAATTTTCACATTTTTTCGATTTATCCTCGAAATGCTACAGGTTATTAGGACAAAAATTAGATAATTAATTATATTTATGCATGATCGACAACTGTCACTACGGATTTTTTTAATCCCTTTAGTTTTAGAATTATTCCGCTAAAACGAATTTGGTACTTTTAATGCGCAAAATTCAACATCTCCTGAAGCATGTCACGCGAACTTCAGGCATATATTTGTTTCACAAATTTGGGCGGAGCCAACGTCAAATCTTGCATATGCATATACTAGAAGCAGTAGCTCCTTGTGAAAGAGTTCGTCCAGGGAAGTACTGCCTCACCTAACCTATTTCTGCTGCCAAGCAGTAATATGCGTTGGGATCGAGACATCACCGATGCAACAGCCCAGCAACAGATCTGATATAACACTAACTGTAAAATCTACAAAGACCACCTACCTCATAGATATTGCCGTTCCCAATACAAACAACCTAAAACAGAAACACACTGAAAAAACACAAAAATACATACCTTTAGCAGACGAAATCAAACAGATTTGGCACCAAGAAACCATTAACGTAGTCCCCATTATGATTTTGTCAACTGATATCATACCGAAAACCCTTCATACCGCCTAGACACAAGCTCGATAGTCTGTCGTTTCTTAAATACACCTGATTCAACAAACTCCACAAAAAATCAACACTCACTCACATCTCATCACAATATCAAAGCCGAACCAGAATACTTAGGCCCGTACCTGGTTCCAAAGTACAGGAAAAAAAAAGAAAAAGAAATAAAAAATTAAATAACAATAATAATTTTGTCCATTTTGTCCACCACTGGCGTTATTCTAAGAAGCCTGTGGGAGAGTTTGGAGAAGCTGGACCTTCCGACAACCCTTGTATACAAAATTCAAAAGTGTGTGTGTTTACACACACTGCTTTTATCGACACCCATTAAGGTGCACTAAAAATCCCATATAATAATAATAATAAAATGATGATGGTACCTCCTATTAAGCTTATCAAGCCTGTGTTAGGAGGCACCGCTCTTCCATAGCTATAAATGCACATGTAACATTTTAACTTATACTTAATTTTGTGTTTAATTTTTACATTTCCAAACAACGTCAAAACAAACAATTTTTAACAATTTTCAACATTCTTTATTTTGAATCTTATTACGTATGTGTGTTGGTGTGTGTATGACAGTGTGTGTGTTGCCATAGAATTGTCAAATTATGTCTCAGATCTGTGCTATTTAAAGCTCCACGTGGCACTGCAACTGTTATGGACAGGCGCGTAACTCACCATCAGGCGCATGATTTGTTCGTCCCGTCACTTGCTATTGTAAATAATAATAATGTTTTTGTTTTCAGATGTTCAGTGTGAAAATAATAATTACCGAACTGATGTACACACTGCCTCTTTACAAGAATCTCGTTAAAGAATACTTGATTATCAAGAAAAAAAGCCGTTTAAATACATTTTAACATCCTGTATATTTACATTACATTGATCACTCTAACACACGTTCAACAAACTAGCTTATTTCTGTACTATTTTTTAACATATATAAATACTTTTTTTATAGTTAGGTTAATGCTTTGGTCAGACACAAATGATTGCTGCGTCGATTTAATCCTCCAAACCTCGGAGCTGTTTAAAAACCTTCGCACCTCTTCGAAAATTAGACGAAACAAAATATATAGTTTAAAACGCTACACTTCTAAATGCATCTTTGAAAAGAAAACTTCTTCCTCGAAATCTATTATTAACCAATTCTGCACGTGGTTTGTAAAGACATCGAAGAAAATTTTCAATTTACTAAACAATAGACAAAGATGCATTGAAATGAAAAGCAAACCTATCGTTCATTCAACGTTTTAAAAGATTTACCCTTAAAAATAAGAAAAACAATCCTTGGAAGCTGTAAAAATACCTATGCAGAAATCTAAACCTCAAATTGAAAATTAAACTCATGACTTTTACAAGTTGCCTGTTGAAATTTCGTTATTTACCACACGTAAGATATAATTTATTTAGATTCCAAATATAAAATATCTCCCTCTCTAAGAGACGTAAGAATAATAAAACATTACCTCTAAATAAACAATCTACCTCTAAAAACTTGTACCTCGGAAAACCTATACCTCTAACATAAAATGCTGAGATGTACTAAAAATTCTATGACATGGAGAAGCTCCGTAAACAAAAACCGATTCTTGCCATATATATTTCAAACATTTTTCATTCTTACACTATTTATACTTATTTTACTTCCATATTAAAAGAAATGATAATTAGACGTAGGAAACTCGAAACACTTCTACAATAAAGTTTCTTTTATAAGCCACAAAACATCTATCTCTAAAACACAATGCCAAAATATAAAGATAATGAGGATCTGGCGGAGGCATCGAAGAAAAAGAGTAAGTTATTTTAACACAAGAATTGGTTTTAGGGCGCGTTCAAACTAAATGCTTATATAAGCCCTGCAGTGGCACCACTGTGGCGCTGAAGCCACGCAACTACTATTTTCGTATAATATTTAGAGGCGCCTCTTTGGCAATATTTGACAAAATTGAACTAAAAATTGCTTAAGCGCCTAAGGGGAGTCTCAGGCCGAGAAGCGGGAAATCTGTTTTCCTAGATCAAAGGGTTCGAGTATTTTCATCGAGTATAAATAGAGACGAAATGTCATTTAATTTGTTTGAAAATTATTCTGCCATATCCATTGACCTACCAACAAATGGACGTCGGGTCTAATACAAAAACCACGAAAAAAATGTCTGAAGTTAACCCATACAAACATAGTGGTATAAAACTAAAACATTTAATTTAAATTGTAACCTCATTGCAGTAGTGCCTATTTTTGCTTGCAACAATTTAAGGGCCCAAAAGCACCATATTCAGCTTCTACTGGAAATTTAACAAAATGCACCATATTTAGCTTCGACTGAAAATTACTTGAACACAAGAGTAATGGAGTAGCCTTTGTCGTAAATATTAATTAATTTTTATATATATTATTTATAGTATAAATTCACTTAGGGAAATGGGCAGATACATACATACACATATTACTGTAAATGTGAAAATAAGCGTGTATATATATAAGAAATGTACCGATATTCCAGCTAATCGTAAACTCAAATATACGTAATTCCGAAAACCGTTTTATAATAAAACCGTTACGCTTTCGAGTAATTTTGATGCTCTTCCCAAAGACAAAATTAGCTTTTGTCTCTATCTTCGTCTTTTGTATCTAAAAAAATACATTTGACATTGTGAAAATTCGAGCTAACGTTATTTCGGGCAAATGTATTTTCTGACTTCTGATAGGTAATCCCAAGCCGTAAAAGGAGTACAACAATATTTTGTTAGTTATTGCTAACGTTTAATAAAAAAAATATTTTAGAAATAAGATTAAAATCAAAGCAACTCTATAGTTTCTTTGTCCTATTTATTTCAATCGCTTGTGGTTCGAACAATTGAAAATGACCAAGAAGTTTTAAGCTTCTTGAAATTGACGTAATGGGTCTCTTACCAACTTTTGCGCATGCAATGTGTCGAAAAAGGACAGTTAGCTATTTGATTATTTTGTTTGCTTTTGTAATTTATATTTACGATTCATTTATATATAAATTAAATACTATAAAACAGTACAAAATAACACATTTAAATGAGATCCATGATAACACAATATATGTATTTGTTTAGTGAAAATATTTTACAAAATTCTGTATTTGCACTTTATTACAGTAATTTTTAGAAATTATTATTATTGGTACTGCATGATAGACAAGCGCGCTGTCAGTCGAATAAACGAAGACTGTTGCGCGATTGACGCTCTGTATGCTATTTTAACGCCCTATAGGTGCGGACACTTTTTAGCGCGAATCCGACGTCCATTTATTGGTAGGTCAAAGGCTATATCATTACTGTGACAACTGGGCTCCGATTGGCTAGCCCGAATTCGAAACAATTGACGGGTGTCGTCAATTATTTCAATTCAAATCGACCAGTTAGCTTGAGCTTTGCTATAATGGACGAAAATTGCCGATCAAATTTGATTCAGTTCGTTTTGTAATTAGATATTTTGCTGTTTTCCCCACACCAACAAATGAAACAGCACGCAATTGTTAGAGATATTATCTTTATTACAATAAATACAGAATATTTTTGGAATATACAGAAACGTACACACAGGTCACTTGTTAGAGCTGTTATATTTCAGTGCAAACAAGAGTTGATGTTTATAAGTGATGCTTCACTGAGGAGTTGCCAGGAATATTTGGCCCTTATTTCGTCTCTATTTCTGGTTATATACTCGATGATTATTTACTATTAAATAAAGGTCTTACGAAAAATATACGATACACCATAAGAACATTGTCTAAAGAATGGGCTAATTTGTCATAGTATAGGTTGTACTTTTATATAATCGGAATTATATAAAATCCTGAAAATAGGCTAAAATAATGGTCTAAAATGAATTATTTAAGAATAAAGAATCTAATACTGTATATAGTTTTTTTATATGGAGATATTTCCCTTTAAGTACTACAGGCAACTTGCTAAATTTTGGTTTTCAACTGAAGCCCTGTAATTATTAAATCCACATATATCTCAAAACTTGAAAATTGCCCAGCGGTTTAACGACACGCCGCGCCGCCTGCTGCCCCGTCAGTCGCCATCAGGCGCTTGTCGGCTGTTCTTGTTTTATTCATATTAATTAATGCAAGACGCGAGAGGCGACTCCGCACACCTCACCTTCTGAAATCTAGCCTCGCGTTGAAATGCCTCGCCTTGAGACGCTAGGCTGCACTTCTATAAGCGTCTAAGGGCGCGTGTCCACGCTAAGAAAAATCACCGGGTCTATGCAAGAATTCGTGTCGTTTCTACACACGAACTGTGTACACTGCCTCGGCGCCGGACAAGAAAAAAATCTTGTCTAACCCCGTCACGACGCGCTCTGCCGCTATTGTAACGGGGCGGGGTTAGGTGCATTGTCAGTAAACGGACGCTTATGCGCGTGGACGGGTGTTGCTTAGTAGTCAACATATCGCTCAATAGTGTTGTAACTCAAAATATGTGAAATTCATGATTATACTATTTTTGAATGTAAAATTTGATTGTCTACATGTCAATAAAACCGTCGCGAGAATATTGCAAGAAACAATTAAAAGATATGTACTTAACTCAAAATGAGACAAATTAAGTTTTGGAGAAATAATTCCTTATTCAAAATTATTTATGAAATTATTGTTCTCCTTTTATTTTTAAGTAGTGGGAAATTGTTTAGATGTCTGTAATAAATAAACTTTAACCTATACATAAATATTAATATTTTTTCTCGGAAATGTGTAATTCGATTTTCATGAATTCCAAAAAAAAAAATTTTTGATTTATAATACCATTGTATTAAATAGTATAATCATGAATTTCACATATTTTGAGTTACAAAACTATTGTGTTAACTGTGTTTGTCGGTGTCGGGTGTTGCTTCCCGTCCCCGTCTAACATCCGTACACTTCTGACACGTCTTCTAAACGTCTAACACTTCGAATTTCTTACGGCGCGTGTACAAGCTAAGAAATTTGACGTGTCTGCTACAGAAAAGATGAGAATGGTCTTGTAAACGACAAGAACTTTCTCGGATCTAGCCACGAAAACATGTCGTGTCTGTTGCAGACAAGAAAATGATGAATATGTACACGATAGGAATGCTTTCGGGCAGACGTTTGTAGGGTAAACGTGTCAGTGCATTGACGAGTACTAATTATAATTCTACGACTACGTACTAATAATAATAGGAAATACTTAAAAATTAATGTTTGTATTTACCATAGTACTTTTTTTCTGTATTTGTCATTTCTTGAAAATCTTCCTTAAGAATAATAAATATTTCTCTTCGTGCCTCAAAAGTACTTCGTTTATCTCTATAAATCTCTAAGGTTTTGTCCTACAATACGGGTCGTTTATAAACTAAATTTATAAAGTAAGTCATGCATTTTATTGTCCCAATAAAATTAGCGGTGCAACAGTGGCACTTTGCAACGCAGTCCACGCGCATAACGTTCGGTTACTGCCAATGCGCCCCATACAATAGCGGCAGAGTGCGTCGAGTCGGGGGTAGACAAGATAGATAGATAGATGTACCTACACTTTAACAGGAACAAAAACAGTACATAGACAGCTTAAAACTAATGTGGGCAAAGGCGGCCTTGTCGCTAAGAGCGATTATATTTTATCAAATAATAAATAACGGTATAGTATACCTACATGTATATTAGTATACATAAATATACCTTAATAAACTTATACTTACTAATAAATAAATACACGTTGCAGACTAGGACAGTGTCAGAAGATATTTACGCAATCCAGTTTTGATAATCTCAGTACATTGTACTAAAAAAACCGACCTCAAAAGTACGTGGAATTACGTCTATTTGCTAAGTTTCATTGAAATATATACAGGACTTGACCCTGGAGATAATAAAAATAGGTTCTCACTACTCAAGTATATTGAGAGAAGAACGCCTTGAATTGGAGAAATAGCAAAATCGACTAAATAATTGCTAAAAGTAATTGCTCCTAAATTAAAGTTAGGCGCTATTTATAAAAATTAATCTTCATGCGTGAACAGCCACCCTTAGAGGTGGATGATTTTCTTCAAAATGAAATGGGACCACTGTGGAAGTACCCCCTTTCCAACAAAAAAAGAATCATGAAAATCGGTTCACAAATTCCGGAGTTATCGCGTAACATACATACAAAAAAAAAGAACATACAGTCGAATTGAGAACCTCCTCCTTTTTTGTAGTCGGTTAAAAAATGGGAAGCGACTTTGAATGTCGGATTTCAGACGGGAGTTCGTTCCATAGTTGTGCAGACTTAATCGTAAAGAGTTTTTTAAATAATCCGGGCGAGTTTTAGACCTTCACGGTTGTAGACAAGATTTTTTTCTTGTCCGAGGCACTGTACACAGTTCGTGTGTAGAAACGACACGAATTCTTGCATAGACCCGGGGCTTTTCTTAGCGTGTACATGCGCCATAATAGAGAACAGGGCCTCAATTCTTCTAACTTTCATGAAACCACTGATCATTGTAATTCTAATAAGACTCCATTGAGATAATATTGCATTTATGATAATATTTGTTATTCTGTTAAAATCTAGTTGCAAAGGCTGTTGAGGCTCTATAGAGTGTCAGTGGAATGGCATTCATTTATTCAATCACTAACGATCAATGTTGCCTTACTTAAACTACAATGGAAATTGCTGTGCATAGGTGGAACACTAAGAAAAAAAAATCAAGAAAATTACTGAATTTTGCATTGCAACTCCTTCTTTTGCAGAAACTGTTCGTCAATCAATAAAGGATATATTCGTGTCAAAAAACGGCACGAAAACAAATAAAAGAGATGACGACAGCGATCGAAAAAGCAATAACAAAGTACCCAAAGGTATAGTACCTTTCTTTTTTTACAAATACTCGACACGGACTTGTATATTAAACTGGACCGCGTACTAAGTTAATAAAACGAGGCGAGTGAGAGGCTTCAAATTAGTGATGCATCTCTTTCTAACAGGGTGTTCATTCATTTTTCAGCCAGCCATATTGTTTGTAACTTTTTAATTTTTAACTGACTTCAAAAAAGGAGGAGGTTCTCAATTCGACTGTATGTTCTTTTCTTTTTTCTTTTTTTTGTATGTATGTTACGCGATAACTCCGGTATTTGTGAACCGATTTTCATGATTCTTTTTTTGTTGGAAAGGGGGTATTTCCATAGTGGTCCCATTTCATTTTGAAGAAAACCATCCACCTCAAAGGGTGGCTGTTCACGCATGCAGATTCATTTTTATAAATAGCGCCTAACTTTAATTTAGGAGCAATTACTTTTAGCAATTATTTAGTTGATTTTGCTATTTCTCCAATTCAAGGCGTTTTTCTCTCGATATACTTTGAGTAGTGTCGTAGTGAGAACCGATTTTTATTATCTCCAGTGTCAAGTCCTGTATAGTGGCGAACTAGGGGATATTTCAATGAAACTTAGCAAATAGACGTAATTCCACGTACTTTTGAGGTCGGGTTTTATAGTACTCTGTACTAAGATTATTACAGAAAATGTGGCCGCTTATGGATGACTGAAATTACTAATATTATATCACAATACAAATTAGTATACTTATTTGATATGCTACTTCATAATATAAGGTTTTATTGTTGATATATTTTCTTTGTATTATTACAGTAAAAGCATATTAACCTTTAACCTAATTTTAATTAACCAAAATTTAAAAAAGTTAATAGATTAGACACTACCTAAGAAGATTTTATTTAGCGTTGGCAACTTGTTAAACAAGGACAGACCACTACGGAGATTCGCTCTGGACCTTTTGGAGGGAAAAGTGTCGTTTTTATTTTGACTTTCAATTATTTTGTGAAATCTAGTTTAAAGTGGAATAGGATAGTGCTATTGTGCCTTAATCGAAGATTAAAACGCGAAATTATACGAATCTCGAACTACAATACCCGTATCGGCCCGTTTTAAGGAATCCCGAGTCAATAAAAACACGCCGCCTCAAATTGCCTATCCTCTTTGTGGCGGCCATATTTACAGAAACATATTTAAACTTCATGTTTAGGCTGATGGCTTTGCCAAAGCCTTAATAAATAAAAAACAAAACAGACCACTACTTAGCTATCTCACGGGGCTCGGTTTTTTACTTTTACTTAAAATACATTTTAACATAAATAAATAAATAAATAAATAAATAAATAAATAAATAAATAAATAAATAAATAAATAAATAAATAAATAAATAACCCAATAAGGTGTAAATTTGTAATTTTGGTATACCGAAGTGCGCGACTCAGTTTAAGAAATATATAAATCCGTGATACTCGATGGGTTAGCGAAGCCTAAACGCCCAGTTACATGACGCGAAAGTTTTCACGAAATATATTTGTAAAGGGCCCGAAACGTCGGTTTGTTTGAAAAAACAAATATACGCGATTTAAATCCGGAAAAATAGTTTCATTTCCTATGTGTAACAATCGCGAAAACCTAAGAACTCGATCTGTTTACTAATTTAAGTAGTATACATTTAATTTTTTTTTTATTCCATTGATATTCAATTATTTTTATATGAAGTTAGTCCACTAGTTTGTTATAATTATTAATACAAAGATCGAACACTCAGAAAAACAAAGTAACTAACTAGTGGAGTAATTTCACAATAAATAATTGAATATCAATTCAATAAAAATTTAAAATACAGTGAATAGCGACATCTCACGCCAGGGCTGGTAGCTGTAAAGGTAACTGGGTGATAAAATTTTCATAGATTTCTCATAGATGGCGCTACGACTAAAAAGTCGTTGAAAAACCAAATACAAAGGCACGACAACAAGCACATAGAAAAATTCGTGAGGTTCGCAGGTTCTTTCCGTGGTTTAGTTTATATAGCGTCTGGCACGGTATGCTAGAAAACGTATAGTTTTTATAATTATGACAATTTAACTAAATAGTAGGGTAGTAGTAGTAGGGGAGGCGCAAAAACTGGTACCGGCCAAAGGGTGTGAATCAATTAAACACTCGCACCGTTGTCGCTGTAGTGAAACACACGAATGTTGGTTAATTACTGTTTTATTTAAAATCACCCTGAGTAAACAAAATGGTAGAATGACATCACTTTATACAGAAATACCTTCATAAATACACTACAAATACAACCGCGCGGACACCGTCAAAGAAGACCGAAGGTCTTATTCACAGTGTTTCAAATTTAAATGGGACCACTACTGAGGGTAAGAGGGTACCTACCCTCTTCTCAACAAAAAAATAATTCACAAAATCACTTAACTTACACACACAGAAACAAACGAATTGAGAATCTTCTTTTTTTAAAGTCGGCTAAAAGCGGTTTCATTTCCAAAGTGTAACAATCTCGAAAACCAATGCTCACGGTTTTATTAACAGACTTCAAAAAATGTAGGAGATTGAGGAATTGAGAAAATTGTATTGTATTTTTTTTTGTATGTATGTTACGCAATAACTCCGGTATTTGTGGACCGATTTTGACGAGACTTTTTTTGTTGAACAGAGGATACCTCAGTATTGGTCCCATTTAAAATTTGAAGAAAATATTCCACCTGTAAGTGTGAGAAACTAGGGGTGAATCCGGTTTCGCGCAATTTCCGGTTACCGCTTTCAATAAAACTTGGCAAATGGATGGCACCACAAAGTTTTCAGAATTTTTTTTTTTATAAATATGTTAGATACTTCTTCTTTTATTTTTGCCTATGTCATCTTCAATAATCCACCACATCATAGTCATGTTACGAAAAGTCAATGTAAGATTAAAGTAATAATGTTTTAAGAGCTTATAGTAAGCCCTCTGCAGCTGTGATCAGGTGTAGAAAACCACGAAACTCATAGCACAGGTTTGAGCTGCTGTCTCCCAACGTTTCACTTCAAATTGTTAGTGTAGTCTTTGCGATTTCGAAGTGTTTATCTGCCCGCTTGTAGCCGCTTTGGCACTATGAAAGGGAAGACGCCAAGACCCGCGCGTCCGATACGCTCATTTAAGTTGAAACGTAGAAGCTAAATAAATAGAGCATATTTTGCCGTGTCGAATAAACGCGCGCTAAGAGTCATGCACACGGCGTATTTTACACGCGCAGCGAGTAAACCTTTGCACACATTCACACATTCAACGGCGACGTAAACGTTAACGTTGTTGTTGTGGTGGTCAAATTGTTTTTTTTTTTTTTGCAAAACGTGTCACTATCCCTGATTTTTAATTTGGAAGAACTTGAATTTGAAAATAATTGCTCCAGACGTAATGTGTGCTCATGTAGGTAACACTAATTGCCTTCGTATGGCCATTAACATTTTTCATGCATATAGTTAATAACTTTTGTATAATAAGACGTTTCAAAAGTTTGTGATATTTACATCTTCTATTTGCCAAGTTTTATTGAAATTGGCTAACGGAATGTGGGTGAAATCCAATAAACCGGCTGCATCCCTTAATTTGCAACCCGAAGTGATATTTTCTTCAAATTCGAATGGGTTCACTATTGAGCTCCACCCCCCTACGGATATGAAATCGGATCACAAGTGTCGACAGTAATCGCGTAAAAATAAACAAAAATTAAAATTAAATTAAAACTTTTTATAATTATTAACAACAAAGATCCGAACACTTAGAAAACATTTCTTCGATCCGGCCGGATTCGAACCGACGTCTTCTAACATACCGTGCCAGACGCTATACCAACTAAGCCACGGAACGAACCAACGGGCCTCACCAACTTTTCCATGTGTTTGTTGGAGATCTTTGTTTCCATTTTAAACTACTTTTTTGCCAGAAGATGTTAGTCCGAATCCCGGAGCGAAGGAATGTTTTCTAAATGTTCGATCTTTGTATTAATAATTAAAATTATTTATTCAGACCACAAGAGTCCATGTGTGTTAGTATTTAAAATAAACAAGAAACAAAACAAGAAATAGATAGATAGAGAAACAAAGCAGCAGTAGAGCTCCTTACGTATTTCTGCCCATGAGACTTGTCAACTTATATCTCCGGGTGATGGGCCCAGTGGCAATGCCTCTCAGATCTTTGCGATTTAAAGCTCTGGGTGGCACTGCAATTGTTATGGACAGGCGTGTAGCTTAACGTCACCAGCACGACTTGTTCGTACCGTCACTTGATTATATATATAGGGATGCAACATCGGTCAACATATTAGAACAACGATATTTTTAAAAGTGTAACATCGATGTTAAAAACATGGAAGTTTATGAACGATGTATCGATTTTTTTCTATGTTTTTGTCACTATTTAAATATATATATATATATCGTAAAATTGTGTATTCCGTCAGTTTATAATCGCACGTCGATAGATTACAATCTAACCTAACCTGCCGTTAGTTTATAGTCTCACGTTACAATTTTACGGTGACATATATCGAATAAATACTACTTTTTTAACCGAAATTATATAAATAAGTACAATAATCAAACTTATATTATTATAGAAAGTTTTTGCGTGCGTAATTTGCATTGCAGAGCGAACGAAACGCAAAACAGAAAAATCTACGGTTGTGACTGAGAGAAGTATCTGTTTCTATGTGTAGCTGTAGATCATGGACGGGACGGAAGATGGCGTAATGATAAAACATCGTTCATAAAATATGGCTCATGATTAACGATGTTTTGGGTTTCAACATCATGGACGATATATCGATGTTCGAAAAAATCGATGTTTCGTTTGCATCGCAAATTATATAAAAAAAATACAATATAAGAAATTGGGGCTTTGCAGCATTCCGCGTCTTACTGACACTATGTGTTTATAATAATATTTTTTTTTCATTTACACATGCTTTTCTAATAGTTTGACCTACCACTTCTCAAGCAAAGGTCGTGGCTTCGAATCTGGGGCCGCCACCTCTTGAGATTTTCGGATTTTATGTGCGAAATTTAATTTTAAATTTACCATAATCTTTTCGGTATAGGAACACATCGTGATTAAACGTTTACGTTGAAGAAGGTTTACAACCCTCGGAAAGCGTGTGAAATCCCCAACCGTGAGAACCGTGCCCAACAGTGGGATATATAAAATGAGTTGATGATGATGATGTTGACACGTTCTTTATTTCTATTTTACAGATGACAGATTTAATATGAACAACTTACAAGTGTGTATTGAACAGGTTGAAGTGGACAACAGATCACCATGGTCCGATAATGAATCTGACGGACTTCAGCCGGAAATATCTTGTGGATGCATAGTTAGGCCATCAAGGTTCGACACCGAGTCGCCAAACTACCACATAGCATCGAAAATTACAGGAACGTACTGCGTGCAACGAGTGGAATTGGATAATACGCTTAGAATGTCCCAGAAAGAATCAGATATTCTCCATCCAAGTTCAAATGGAGGATCAAGCGGAACAGGGACGGAAATGCCGATTGCCAAAAAAAGCTCAAAGCTCTCCAAGATAGGATCGATAATATCACAAAAAGGGTCGGCGATTTCTCGAAAGATATCTAAAATATCTCATAAAAGTCCAAAGATCATCGAGCCTGATGATATTCAATCAGAGTTCAGTGTTTTCTTGGATACAATACTTCCCGACTCCAAGTTCAAAACGCCTCCTTTTAAAGAACTAAACGATAGGAGTGCAAAGAATGCGGATTTATCTACTTTTGACGAATACGACGAAACCAAATCTGCAGATACCTCTGATAATAAAGCATTGAAATAATTATCTCTTGCTGTGTTTAGTAAGGTAGTGATTTAGGCAATAATATTGGAAGTAATTTACGATTCTTATTCAAATTAATTGGCAAGAATATACGAGAGGAAGGAATTGCAATATACATCAACAATATTGAAGAGAAGTGGTCAGAAGCTGCGGATAAGTTACTGATAAGAAAGAGCTTATAATATTGATTTTCTCTGGACTGAAATTTGTTGAACCCACAAGTCAGAAATGTTTAGTTTGTAGTGAAAATTATAACTCTAAATAGGTGGTTAAGGACAAATAGAATCAAATGTATTTAGGTCATAATACACAACTATTATCAGCTGCTTATTTGGCAAAAATAGTCGAAGACCATCCCGCAAAGACAAAAATGTTGCTAAAAAAACAAGAATGAACTTTTATCGACTTAAATGATAAAATATATGACATCCAAAACAATCCGACAAACCACTAAGTGCTCAATAGACATAAAATATCAGATTAAATAACACCATCGTAATTTTGGTTACCTCAAAAACAAAAACAGCCCCTTTTACAAGTGAAGACCCGTTACAGGATATGCTATTAAAATATTAATTCAAATTGATTCTGTCGCTACATTTGTATAAGTAAACTAATTCGACAAATCCAAAACAGCACCAGTCTCGGCGCTAGCGAATGTAGCGCCGGGTGTAATCAATACCCGTGCGCTCTCTGGTAGTAGAAATTCGAGTGCAAATGGTGCAATTATAAATGATGTTGGGAAGCAATTGTTCCCAAGATGGGCCACGAGAGAATCCTCGTCTCGCCTCGCCGGTGGAAAACCACCTTAACACCATGCACCATAGGTAAAGCCGACACTGAGCAGCACTATCTGCAACTCTTGGCTGTTGTATTTAGAGCAATTGGAATGCGACCGCTTTCTCTTTCTCACTTACTAAAACGTCATTTGAATGCGGCTACCGGTAATTGCTCTTAATTAATAATGTTTTAGATAATAAAACTGATGGCGTGTTTACATCGACCCTACTGCCACCGAAGTTCAACTAACTAATCGCGTGACTATTTAATTTTATTCCTTGGCCCCCTCAGCACGCGCATCCAGGTGCGATGCGACTGCCGCTTTGTTGGAATTCAATACCAATAGAGTAACTTACTTGGTAGGAAAATTTAAAAAAATTCGACTGTTGGGCGCTCTGTATCTCACTCTTTGCCAAGGAAAGCCATTTACTTTTTTTAAATCTTTAATCAATTTATATTAACAGCCATTGCAAGCACGCGAGAGGCGTCGCGTGAATAGTGTTTCCATTGCAGAGATTAACTCTTTGTCAATACAGTCAATATTACAAAAACAAATATTTCAATTCTCGTTTCGCACATCCTCGTCAATCCAGATACCGAAGAGACGGAAGATACGCTAGGAAAGAATTAAAATTTTTGCCATATAAATTTCAAACCTCGTCTCGGATCGCCGATAGACAATCACCTTAAACGCGCCATCAGTCTCTTGTTATGATCATACGGTTGGTTATAGTTTTACAATTTACCACTGGTCACAAGTGTAAAGACCATAGAAGTCATGTTTTTTTTTCAAATTAAACGTTCCGGTACATCCAATTCATCCGCGCTATACAGTACATTAAGTACGTAAATATACCATTAATGCTTCGTTGAATATAACATAATCATAACATGACATATCTTTAGATCTGTCCACAAAAATTTTCACCTCATGTGCATCACATTGCAACGTAAGCCCGCCCCCGCGCTCTTGTAGCGTCGTGGGCGAGGACGGACTTATGCGGTCTACCTATAAATACAATATAGAAAATTTTAGATTTACGCTTAGGTCCTGACTTACTTGGCTATATCGTTTATTCTAATTGGCTATCTTGTTCGAGTTGGAAAGTAATATTGCATTTCTTTCAACTGTAAAATATTACATAGTCGTTACCTTCTAATAAATTAATTCGCAAATGGGGTCATTTTGCGTCTCCATTTCCAAAAAGTATAATGTAGAAGTGTCTGGAAGATATTTTCACACATAATCTTTTCTCTAACTCGAAAGTCAGCATTTCAGGAATTCTTTGAAAAATTTACACAATCCTTGAATTTCTAAACGCATAAACGTTTAGGTTAAATGAAACTGAAAGAATACAAAATAATCCCTTTATCCACTTGGTTGGGATAGCTAGTTAATGTTTTTGCAATGTACCACCAAAAATTATCATCATTGGTAACCGACAAACAAATCCATGCGAAATCTATCGTATTCAAATGCATGTTTTGTTCAATATTACGTCCTGAAACATCAATTGATGATTACCAGAATCGGTTCATAAAAAGACCAGTATCATAATTCGAAATTTTTTAATTAGTTTTAATAACGAATATTATGTAATACAGGTTGAATATTTCTTTACATTGCATGGTTATTGGCTAGGGGCATTTAGAAAAAATACTTCTTTATCATGGAGTACCTACGCCCTAGTCATACTTCTGAAAAACTTTCTCTATTGCACTTATAGAGAAAGCCATTCATGATTCCTTTTTTGTTAATGTGTGTAAAATTGTTAACAAATCGGATGTGGTTTCTTTTGGGATCTGGGGTAGAATTGCCTCTTAAAAGGGGTTCTTTACATATAATAAGACTTTTGTAGAAGTAACAAAAATTTGCAACGATTTTACTGTTTTTTTTTTAAATACATAAAAGCATTTGTCAGGCGTACCCTAGACAACCTTGCTCTCCGAAGGGGTAAGTTTACTGCAATTCGTAAACACTAGAGCGGTGTGTCATATGAATAAACTTGAATTACACATTGTGTCACGTTACAAGGGAGACAAATAAGTGTTACCGATAGTGGTATAAACTTGGTCTTTTGGGGGAGACTTGTACTGGTTGCGCAGATGGTAGTGTTGGATATTATTATTTTAGTTAGTTTACTTAATGTCAAAAGTACTAAAATTGTTCCCTTTTAAGATGTAGTTTTAGATATTTTATTGATCGGACTGGTTTCTTCTGACACTTTACGCCGTACAAAATTTTCCTCCTTTGCGTGACGTGGCAAAATCTGTTACAGGTTTAACATAGCATACCATAGCACTTCCATCATACTACATTTTCTCACGCACCATGCTACACGTTTGATAGAATAGAATTTTGGAATATCTCGCAATAATTTTATTTCACTTCGTCTCTTTAGTGCCGTACTAAACTTTTCCAGTCATGGACTAAACAATTCATAATTACAAGGTTAAGCCGTGTTGAAAACGGATACCAGCTAAAAAAACACAAGCTACATTAGCTAGAAGAGACTAGAGCAGCATCACAGTAAGATGTATTGTCCTTTGCAAGTGAGCACAATTTGCAAGCGATGTCCAGTAAAATTATTACGGCTAATATTGTAAGAATTAAAGAGTCCTACAAGGTAAAGTCCTGAATATAAAGTCCTACAGGTAAGGTTTTGATTGGAGAGTACCACAAGGTACGGTCCCGACTCTAGAGTCCCACAAGGTACGGGCCCGACTCTAGAGACCCACAAGGTACGCGCTTCAAACTGTAGAGTCCCACAAGGTACCGATCCTCGCTATAGAGTCCCTTAAAGGTAAGGCTATTAGTTAATTGCCAAATCATTGAGCAACCCATTCGCTGTGATTCAATTTCATGATAATCAAGTTTAGTACAAGAAAATTACGTTACAAGAAAATAATAACATTGAATTTTGGAGTTCAACTTTATTATTATACAACATAAGTATTATAAATGTGTCCGTCATGGCGTTTGCTTCCGTGGCCGGTTATATGAAATAAATCCACTCCATATTAGTATATTTTTGAGTAATAATCGTACCTCTGTATACTTTGGGTATAATCTCAACGTGACACGAATTGTCGAATTAGTTTATTTAGAAAATGTATGCGACAGAATCGTAATCTCAATTTTTAGTTATACATGGAAAAAAATTATATTAAGAATTAATAATAAATATATTTATATTATACATATAAAAAAAACCAAAATACATTGATTAAATGTTCTTGAAAATTTTTAAATTGGATTCTTTTTTTAATTTAAAAAAATACAAATTAAATTTTTATAAGATCGAACAGAAAGTTTTCGATTTAGCTCGCAATGTTACGTGCGCTGTTGTCAGATTCGCTTTGGAAGTTGAATATTTTGTATATAAATTTGCAAAAAATATTAAGCCACTGATATATCTACTTATGAAGGATTATAAATATTTAGTTGGAACGTTTTTTTTTCACACAACGAAAAAAGTGTAGTCAATAAGAAATTATTTCGCTGATTTTTTAATGAACACACGCATTTTCCGTTATATACAGAGTAAATAAAATGGCGTTATTTCCCGTCGGTTTTTTATTTTGTGGAAAAAATACAATAGTAGATAAGTTTGGTGACATAAAATCATGTAAAAGACTTAGAATAATATGCGAAAACGTTTAATTTAAAAATACATTTTTGCAATTTTAATTTACAGGCTTAACACATTCATGCAAGCTGCTTACTATGCCGCACCAAACAGTTGTAAGTGATGTAAAACAATGTACTATTAATTTACTTTCTTTTATTTCATTGGAGAACGTAAGGGAACGTTATTTGGCCGTACAAAATCTTAATACTGACCTTATTACTCTACATATCAACATATTGAATCTCTAGCGACACGCAGTACCGTGGTCCTACTGGACCCACTGGTGGAACCAAAAGAGAAATTTGACGGGTTAAGTAAGCACTTACCCATTGTTAAGTGTAGAGGGCTAGTTGCTACTTGTTTTTTCTAATTTAGAATAAAAACAAGACTTGAAAATTAACGCGGTTTATTGTAGCAGGCAAGGCAAGCAAGTAAAATAACTTAGATTTATGCAAATTCAGCCTAGTTTCAAAAATTATAACAAATTGACGAAAAATCTACTTATCCTAATATATTAAAATTAAAAAAAACAAGTCTTAAAATTATTTAAAAAAAAACGCAACTGCAAAATTATTTACTTGGAAAGATTATAAAAAAATTAACCCCCTCATTATTTTGATTTTTTTTATAGCCTATTACATTCCCACAATCAAAGCTAATCTAACGACACCTCATGTGTCAAAATCCATTAAGCCGTTTAGGCTGTACAGGGAAACATAGAAATGGACATACATACACTTGAAAAACCTAACCCTCCCGCAGTCGGGTAACTACAAAAATACAAAGTATTCAACACCAATGA